CTCTTGGGTGCTGGTGTTACAGTTAGAAGCCATTATGCTTGGCAATAAAACACTCTACCAACTGCTCTACCCTTACTCCCTTAGGCCCTGGAATGTTTTCTGACGAGTCTGAGGAATAAAAGAATTACCCTAACACGGCTTGGTAACACACACTCCAGGTAGCAGCTATGGGAGTAATTAAGCATCCCTTGTTTTTCAGTACAGGAGACTGAATGAAGGCTGTGCATGCCAGGCAAGCTCTCTGCCGTTGGACGACATCCGGCCTACGGTGGTGATGAGTGAGAGACTGAGGACTCCCGTAGGTCTTGCTTCTGTGATTCCGAATCAGCAGGCACAGAGCTGAGGTAGAGATGAGAAGACTCTAGGAAGCTTTGCCGGGGTGGGGGGATGGGAGATGGGGGGAGGGGGGAGGCAGGGGCCATGGTGGGCTCTGTGGCCCGAGTGACATGGACAAGTAAGGGTAAGCAGAGGCTTGGCAATGAGGCCTGTGGCTCACATGGTGAGGGGACCCGGGTGGAACAAGCTGTAGGTAGCTTGGGAGGAGAATTCAAGGAAAGTTCTTTTTTTTTCCTTTAATCTTTGAAATATGTTTAAGTGTGTTTAAAAACATACACAATATAATATTCACCATCTAACCTCCTCGTTTTGCATTTTATTTTGAGACAGGACCTCATTATGTAACCTTTGCTGACCTGGAACTTGTTATGTAGACCAGGCTGGCCTGGAACTCAGAGATCCACCTGCCTCTGCCTCCTGAGTGCTGGGATTAAAGGCGTGCGCCACCAACGCCCGGCCACCACCACAGTTTCTAAAGGGTTTAGTTTGGATGGTTCCTTATTTTGACAGATGTACTAGGACATACATTCATTTTTTCCCTACTACCTATGACCCTTCCCACAATGCATCTGACTTTAATCGCATGCATACCTGATTATACAGAGACATAACATAGTAAATATGGAGTCTCCCTAAAATGTTGCTTGAGGACACAATTTTGTTTTACACCACATGTACCCAAACCCATTCAGGGCAGCTTGACCCTTCTGTTCTTCATATCTAGATATGTTTGGGCACATACTTGAATGGAAATGGCCTGAATTTGATTGTTACCAGTGGCAGAACACTTACACCATTGTTCAGAGAAGGGAGCACACATGGCCTAGCCGGGTGTGGGTGTCAAAGGGTTCTTACTCCAAGCAGAGGGGCTGCATAACCCATAACCCACCTAACTCCCGCCTTCCGCTCTTGAGTGCCGGCTACAGCTAAGCATGACACACCTTTTTTCCTTTCTGGTGTTATTTTTGTCTGTCTGTTGTTGACATATGTTATAATTATACATTATAATGGGTTTCATCACGACATTTTCATACATGTATTTTGATCATATTTCCTCCCCCCTTAAGGCAGACGGCACCTGCTTTGTATAGGGAGCACTCGCTGCTTAGCCTTTCACCCAGCTAAAATACTTGGTATAACAAGAGTCTTCCCATTGATGTAAGAAAATTCTTGGACAACAAAAAAACAAAACAAAAAAAAATTAAAAGCCGGGTGGTGGTGGCTCACGCCTTTAATCCCAGCACTCGGGAGGCAGAGGCAGGCGGATCTCTATGAGTTCGAGGCTGGGCTGGACCGACAGCCTCCAAAACAATACAGAGAAACCCTGTCTCGTAAAAACAACAACAACAAAACAAAACAAACAAAATTCTTGGGGGTGGGTATCATATAATGGAAGGAGGGTTACTTAGTTCAAGAATTTGGAAGACCAAGAGCCAGGGCTGACCTCAGCTCTGCTCTGCTACGGCCCCTGACTCTGCTACCATCCACTACTCTCCATCTGTCAAGAATTCAGAGACGGAACAGCCAACTGGGAGCCGGCAGAGGACTGAGCTAGAGACTGCATATATGGGACAGTTGTGTAGCTTGATCCTGAAAGGGGTAAACTAAACTCAAAGACTTCTAATAATTTAGAAATAAAGGGACCAGACCCTCCCTCAGTCCCCTGCTTTAGCAGCCATGACAGGCTACAGGAAAGACACGTAGGCCTCTGACACAAGGAAACTCCAGATCCTCTGGCCTCCCGGAGCCCAGGGCCAAAACTGAACGCAAAGAAACTCCAGATACCCACACCTCCAAGCCTCCTAGATACTTGGTTCCTGAGAACTGTTTGTCCACAAAAGAAACTTCATGGGGCACCAAAACCTCCCCGGTAGTCTCCAGGATATAGTTCTGTAAACTATTGGTATCTATGAATCACAGGCCACCTGCAAGTAACAAGACAATGCCATAGAAACCACAGAATGTTCCCTCTCAGTACTGACCAATTAAAAATAATTGGTACACAGGTATTTCATGCCAAAATATGACTTTGAGAAATTCTCCCATTGTCCTGAAATGTCAACCAATCAGAAACCAACCGTACCTACTGATGTAATCCTGTAACTTTTGTCTCTAAAACCTAACAGTAGACAGGGAACTTCACTCCCTCTGGAGGCTGCTGTGACAGCTAGCCAGACTGGGTCCCTGTCATGGGTGAATGAACAATCATTAAATCTTTAGTGAGTCTGTCTTCCTGGTGGTCTCTGGGGACTTTGCAACTTGGGCACAACAATCCTCTTTGGGGTTCCTAACAGAGGAAGCAGGGGCTGTCTCCGACTCTTTCACTGGCTTTTGGGACCCTACTCCTCATACTGGTCGTGAAGATGCTTGTGCTTAGTCTTACTGCAATTTGACATGCCATGTTTTGTTAATATTCATGGGAGACCTGCCCTTTCCTAAACAAGAACAGAGCAGGAGTGGACTGTGGGTGGGAACAGAAGGGAGATGACTGGGAGGAGAGGAGGGAGGGAAACTGCGGCCCAGATGTAAAATAAATAAATTTATTTAAAAAAAAAAAAACCCTCACGCCGGGCGGTGGTGGCGCATACCTTTAATCCCTCAGGAGGCAGAGGCAGGTGGATCTCTGTGAGTTCAAGGCCTGGCTGGACCGACAGCCTCCAAAACAATACAGAGAAACCCTGTCTCATAAAACCAAAAAAAAAAAAATACTTTTGGGCTGGAGGGATAGCTCAGCCGTTAAAGGCTAGGCTCACAACCAAAAAAAAAAAAAAACAACAACAACAAAAAAAAAAAACTCTAGGGCTAGAGAGATGACTCAGGATAGGAGCACTAGCTGCTCTTCCAGAGGTCCCAAATTCAGTTCCCAGCAACCACATGGTGGCTCACAACCATCCATGATGAGATCTGGTGCCCCCTTCTGACCTGCAGGGATACATGCAGACAGAACAATGTATGCATAATAAATAAATAAATCTTTAAAACAAAATTCTACCATCCCCCAGTACAGCTCCACACTTAGGACTGAACTTGAGCCTTTGTGGAACACAGGTCAACCAGATCCAAATCATAGTAAGCGTTTCCCTTTCTTGTCTACTGTGAGTAATGTAGCTGCCAATCTTAGAAGTCCATTTGTCTGAGATCCTGCTTATTTATTTATTTATCTTTATATTTTTTAGTATTTTATTTTTAATTATGTGTATATGAATGTGTCTGTTTCTGTGTGTGGTGTTTGTAAATGAATTTAGGTGTCTATGAACACCAGCGACATTAGGTCCCCGTGGCGATGGAGTTACAAGAAGTTGCGAGTCACCTGACCTGGGTTCTGGGAACCAAACTTGAGCCCTCTGCAAGAATAGTAAAAGCTCTTTACCTCTAAGCCATCTCTTCAGCCCCTCTGACCCTGTTCTTAAATTTTTATTAGTTTACAAAGAGGTTTTAGCCAGGTGGTGGTGGCACAGGTCTTTAATCCCAGCACTCGGGAGGCAGAGGCCGGCTGATGTACAGAGTGAGTGCCAGGACAGGCTCCAAAGCAATACAGAGAAACCCTGTCTCGAAAAACTAAGAACAAACAAACAAACAAACAAACAACAAAACACAGAGGTCTTAATGTGGCATGTTTTCAAAGAACCTTTGTTTCACTGTTCCTCCCTCCCTTTCTTCCACAGTCCTCCCCTTGCCCTCTCATCCCCAGAGGCCCCTCTCCACTTCTGTGTCACAAGTGACACCTTTTAATTTTGTTGTTTATTTGAGAAAGGGTCTCTGTAAGTAGCCCAGGCTGTTCTCCAACGCAGTCCTGTTTTTGACTCAGCAGAGCCTGGACTATGGAAGTGTGCCGCCACAGGCAGCTTGTGGAGCCCTGCTTTAGTCCCTCTGGGTACACTCTCAGAAGTCTCAGAAGTGGGATTGGTAAATTGCAGAAATACTTTTGAACCTGCCTCTGGCTCCTTATCAGAGGCTATTTGGGTGTGCCAAGGCAAGTAGATAATAGACTCATCGTTGGGCCCCATCTACCTACCTGAGGGAACAGGGGTCAACAGTAGCCACACAAGCTTTATGGCTACTCTGAAGAATCCGGCCAGTGCCACGTCTGGCCCAACAGCCGTCCCACCCAGCCTGCTGCTCCAGCCACAGGCTGAATGCACATAAGGGACACACAGTCTGGGGTCTCGAGGGCAGGCCCAGCACACCACCAATAACTGAAGACATGGGCACGACTTCCACTCTGGGTGGTCCCATCAGCACTATTTATCCCACATAAGCAGTCACTTTGAGGTCAGATCAGTCGGAGGGCAGGGTGTTCAAGCCACTCTCTGTGCTTATCAGTGGGTGTCCTGGATCCAGGGGACCAAATCCAGGTCCTGCCTAGGCTGGGTGCTTGGAATCCCACCTACTTTGAGCACCCAGAGCAGAGGCTGGTTTCAGATGCCTCTCAGGTAGGGTGAGGAATCCCTGGCAAGTCACTCAAGAGAAGACAGTGGCCCCAGCAGTACACAGCACTAGTGTCTCATTCGGGATCTCCCCCTAATCTCCCATCCAGTCTAGGGGAGACACACGACCACTGGCCCAGCCACACCCTAACAACCAGACTTCAGTTCACAGGCCAGGGGTGGAGCCAGGGTGACTTTGCATCTAGGGGAGGGACATGGATCCTTTACATTCAGGAACAAAGTCCTTCTCTGACTTGAGCCCAGGCAAGCTAAGCGGTAGCTGGTACCTTGGTTTTCTGCTGGGTAAACTACCAGTAGCCCCAGCCATGCAGGGAGACCGGGGGCTGCTATTGCTGTTGTTGGGCCTCAAGATACACCTGTCCTTTGGTGTCATCCCAGGTAAGAAGGTTCCTTTTTGATCCCACAGCAGGACTAACCTGACACTCCCGCTTGGACTAACCTGGGTCTACTTCCTCTTGGTCAGCGGAGGAGGAGAACCCAGCCTTCTGGAACCAAAAGGCAGCCCAGGCCCTGGATGTTGCCAAGAAGCTGCAGCCCATTCAGACATCAGCCAAGAACCTCATCATCTTCCTGGGGGATGGTGAGTGTGTGAGGCCTGGCCACCCTGGGGCCCTTGCACTCCAATCACCCAAGGCCACTGGTGGGCCCAGGAAGGCCTGGGGTTCAGGTCTGACCACATCCTGTGCCTTCAGGGATGGGGGTGCCCACAGTGACAGCCACCAGGATCCTAAAGGGACAAAGGCAAGGCCACCTAGGACCTGAGACACCCCTGGCCATGGACAGCTTCCCATACATGGCTCTGTCCAAGGTGAGTACTGGGGACACATATCTGGGATGAGGGAGAAGAGGTTGGAAAGGCTGGAGGAGGAAGAATCCAGAAGAACTAGAGCCCACGTTTGCAACTAGAACAGTGTGGACATGTCCCAGGAAGCAAGGACTAATGTCTACCGTAGCACACAGCTGAGAATGTCTCTGTCCCCAGACATACAACGTGGATAGACAGGTCCCAGACAGTGCAGGCACAGCCACCGCCTATCTCTGCGGGGTCAAGGCCAACTACCAGACCATTGGCGTGAGTGCAGCAGCCCGCGTTGACCAGTGCAACACCACGTTTGGCAATGAGGTCATCTCAGTGATGTATCGTGCCAAGCAAGCAGGTAAATTGGTGCTGGGCTTGGGAGCTAGGACAGGCCTGGATCGCTGGGTGATGTTCTATCATCTGCAGGAAAGTCTGTGGGAGTGGTGACCACCACCAGGGTGCAGCACGCCTCTCCAGCTGGCACCTACGCACACACGGTCAACCGTAATTGGTACTCGGATGCAGAGATGCCTGCTCAAGCTCTGCAGGAGGGCTGCAAGGACATTGCCACACAACTCATTTCCAACATGGACATTGATGTGAGCTCCAAGAACAGGGGGAGGGGTGAACCTTGGACTGGCCATAGTCCCAGGCATAAAAAAGCCTAGTCTCTGGGTCCTCTAGAGTAAGAGGGTGTGGAAAGCCCAGGGGAGGCACGCCCTACAGACATAGTGGGGACACAGGTGCTGTCTGTCAGGAGTGAATAGGGGCCCAACACAGTGCTAAGTCTACCCACACTGATCCTCTGACCAAAGGTGATTCTCGGTGGAGGCCGCAAGTTCATGTTTCCCAAAGGGACGAAAGACCCTGAGTACCCAAATGATGCTGCTCAATCTGGAACCAGGCTGGATGGACAGGACCTCGTGCAGGAGTGGCTGGCAAAGCACCAGGTGACGTGGGTTCCCGGGCAGGGCCCTGCCACGGCCCAGGGAAGAGCTGTGCCTCTCTGGCGTATGTGCTAAGTCTGGTTGTGTCCCTGCAGAGTGCCCGGTATGTTTGGAACCGCACAGAGCTCCTTCAGGCCTCCCAGGACTCCACAGTGACTCACCTCATGGGTAATGCCCCAAACCTCTCAGGGGGCCCCCATTGGAGTCTGTACGTGAGCTGCGCCCTCCTCCCCACTTTCCAGCTTAGTGCTCACCATGGATTCCTATGCCTCTCAGGCCTCTTTGAGCCGGCAGAAATGAAATATGACATCAACCGAGACCCCTCTCTAGACCCGTCCCTCCAGGAGATGACAGAGGTGGCCATTCGCATGCTGAGCAGGAACCCCCAAGGCTTCTACCTCTTTGTTGAAGGTTAGTGGTTGTGACCCAGAGAGAGGAGCAGAGCCAGGGGGCCAGAGCAAACACAAGCGTCTCCCGCATCACTGGCTTCCTACAGGGGGTCGTATTGATCAAGGCCACCATGCGGGCACAGCGTACCTGGCATTGACTGAGGCTGTCATGTTCGACTCTGCCATTGAAAGTGCCAGCCAGCTCACCAGCGAGCAGGACACGCTGATACTTATCACTGCTGACCACTCCCATGTCTTTGCTTTTGGAGGCTACACACTTCGGGGGACCTCCATCTTTGGTAGGCCAAGGGACAGTGGCAGGCAGTGTTGCTGCAAGTTTATGGGGATAGATATTGCTGGGCTCAGTTTCCCTCACCTGTCAAAATGGCACCTCCCTTGCAGGGATCGATCGGTGACAATTTAACCATCAAGCAGGCAAATGAGCTTACCTGCACCGCAAAAGCAGTAGTCAGTATGAGGACGAGGTGTCTTCCTTCTCCGTGCAGGTCTGGCCCCACAAAATGCTCAAGATGGCAAAACCTACACCTCCATTCTCTATGGCAACGGCCCGGGCTATGCACTTGGTTCAGGGAACCGTCCCAATGTCACCAGTACTGAGAGTGGTAAGTGCCACAGCCTTGCCTAACTGGGGCTGCAGGCAGAGGAGACTAGGGCAAGTGGACAATGCTCCCCTTGAACACCCTGTCTCCCTAGGTAACTCCACATACCGGCAGCAGGCAGCTGTACCCCTGTCATCAGAGACCCACGGAGGAGAGGATGTGGCCATATTCGCACGTGGCCCTCAGGCACACCTGGTGCACGGAGTGCAGGAGCAGAACTACATCGCCCATGTCATGGCCTTTGCAGCCTGCCTGGAACCCTACACCGACTGTGGCCTGGCGCCCCCTGAGGATGACAGCAGTACAACAGCCCCGAGCCAGACCTCCACCCCTGTCCAGGGCAGTGCGGGGAGTCTAGGCCCAGCCACCACCCTGCTGACCCTGACGCTGCTGCTGCTACTGGGGGCTGCTGCAGAGTCCTAAACTCCAGCTCCTCCAGGTGCCACTGGCCAGGTCCCAGGCCCTCACCCAGAGCTTCTTTTACCCTGACCTCTCACTAACTTCTCATGGTCACATCCCACAACTGCACCCTACCCAGTGCTCCCTGCATTCTGGCTGTGGGCCCTAACCTAGGACCCTCTCTGCTAGTGGCCTCAACCCCTATCCCAGTCTAGAGTGACTGCTTACAGGACACCTACCCAAGCATTCACAAGGGGACAATCACCTCTAAACTAGCAGTCAGCATCAGACCCCGCAGAGACTGGGAGACACCGTGACAGCATGGCCCTGATCCTCCTGGGGCACCTCAGTCACCAGCTGCTAGCAAAGGAGTGGACTCCAGCAATAATTTGTGGAAGACCAAACATGCACCCGCCCATCGGTGCGCCCATCAATCTGCATTCCCACAGACTGAGGTACCCAGGACTAGGGCCGAGAGACCGCAGGGAGAGGCATGGCATCCCACCACTCCCTGGTCCATTCTGCTGGTGAGACGCTGCTGTGCTGCCGTCCCCAGCCTCCTTGGGTCAGCTCCACACTCAGAACCCTTCCAACCCAATCCACAGAGAGAAGATTCTGGGACCACTCAGCCCTCCCATGCCTATTACCCAGCTAGGAAACTCAAGGAGCTGCACCCCAGCCACTCCTAGGTCATCTCAGTCTGAACCTCAATTGCTGAACTAAGGAAACCCCCTACCTTCTAAAGTCTGTGTTCTCCCGAGAGAGGCAAACCAATAATAAAGTGTTATGCAATGCAATGCCAATAATCATTTTCTTTCTGCTAGGGACATGCTCTGCCACTGAGCCATACCCCCACCCTCTCGTAATATTTCCTCCTTCTGCTCCTTCTGCTCCTCCTCCTCTTCCTGCCTCCTTCTTCCTTTCCTTCTGAGACTCTGTACCCCAACTACCCTCAAATTTATGGCAGTCTTTTTGCTGCAGTCTTCCGAATGCTGGGATTTTAAGTGTAGCCACACTCCCAGCTTTCTAGTTGGTTTTTGGCAGAAGGAAAGCCTGGAGTGCCTGCAGCATAGAGTTCAGGCAATGGTGGAGATCAGGCCAGGAAAAGACAGCCATTGAGCAAGAACCCTGAACAAACGTCACAGAACAGCAGTGCAAAGGGCCTGGGGCAGCAGTCATCGGGGAGCATTAGGATGACAGGGTCAGAGAGAGTGGTTGGAAGGAGGCTGGAATTCAGGGGAGTAAAGAGGCGTCAAGGAGGGGAAGAGCTGTGAAGTCTATGGGCCTGTGGCCTTCAGATAGGATTTAGACCAGCCTGGCCCACGGTGTGGTACTTTGGCAATCTTTTCTTTTCCCTTTCTTCCTTTTCTATTTTTTCAGGTGTGTGTGTGTGTGTGTGTGTGTGTGTGTGTGAACGCACACGTGTGTGCATGTGTGAGCACACACGCATGCGCAGACGTAGGAGCTGGTCAGCTAGAGGGGAGGTGCAGACTCTAATCATCTCTGACCCGCACTGGGAACTTTGTGGGACACCACCCAGCAGAGTCATACTTGGCACCTAGCTAACCCGACAATGGAGACATTTGAAAGAATTGCATAAAGGTGGAATCAACTGTGCTTCCCAGTAAATTTTTTGCAGCATTACAAATTTATTTGTACATTTATGAAGGTACAAAAACACGCTTTGCTCCCACTAGTAATATTAGAAAGATTGAGTATGTTTCCTTATTTGCTAAAATCTTGACTTAACACTGTGAAACATCTATTTGAAGTCCTGGCTCTCAGGGTAGTTTATTTCAATTCCAGGTTTTAGTGTCTGTCGTGAAAGTATGAGAGCTGCATGGAAGAAGGCATCCTTAGCAGCGCTTCCAGAATCAGCCTGGTTTTTCAGCCCCATCCACCAATTACACAAGACCCCAGCTGATATATATACTTCTGTCATCCTGAGTGTCCGTCAGTCACTCTTTCTGCACAATGGAGCGGCATTACTCATTTATGTTTTATAAATTTGCTCAAAACCCAAGGACCTCTTCATTTTAAAACTTGCAGTTTTAAAAACAACTTATTCTGGAATTAGATGCTGGTTAATAGATGTTCAACTTTTGAATATTCTGAAAACTGCTAAATTGTGCGCTTTAAAGGGGCAAATTTCATGGTGTGTATGAATTATACCTAAATTTTAAAAACAGATTAGATTAATTTCTACTCCAAACTTCAAAGTGTGTATACAAGGGCTTTATCAGTCACACACACTGCTGGGGCACCAATGAGAAGGCTCAGCAGGTAAAGTTGCTGCTTACGACTGGGTGCCCACCGATGCAAGCTTGGGCTTCAGAATCCACATACGTGTTAAAGCGGAGATCCAGCTCTACAATGTTGTCTTCTGCCACAGGAAACTCGTGACATGCATGGGCATGTACACACACACACACACGCACACAGAGAGAGGGGGAGGGAAGGAGGGAGAGAAAGAGAGAGAGAGAGAATAAATAATTTAATTTCTTTCTCTTTTTTCAAGATAGAGTTTCTCTGTGTATCCCTGGCTCTCCTGGAACTCACTCTGTAGACCAGGCTGTCCTGGAACTCACACAGATCCGCCTGCCTCTGCCTCCCCAGTGCTGAGATTAAAGACTATATCTTTGGTCACAGGACCAAGCCTCAGTGAAAAGCCTTTTCAGGAAGGAACTGGATTAGTCCTAGTGGGAAGAGCACTTGCTGCTCAAACATGAGGGGCCAGAGTTCAGACCCCAGGATCCACAAAATAGTCAGGAATGGCCAAACACACACCTATAACCCCAGCACCGAGGAGAGAGAAGCCAGGAGGATCTCCAGAGCTTGGCAGCTGTGAGTTCAGGTTCAGAACCCGGTTGACTCAAAGGACCAAGGCAGAGTACTAGGAGAGGCCATGTGATACTCTTCCGGCCTCTCTGGATGCTCTCTCAGGTACCCATGCCCGTGCGAAGGAAGTTCTTTTCAGATCTCCTTCTCCACCACAAAGCATTATCAAAGATTCAAAGACAGTGCCTGTTGTAATTTAAGAAAAGCTGCACGTGAGAACGTGACAGGATTCGAGCAGAGGGATTTTTTTATTAGGGAAAGGGAGCATAAAAGGGGGAAAGATGAGGGGGGAGACCAGCAGGAGAGAGAGAGACAGAGACAGAGACAGAGACAGAGACAGAGAGAGAGAGAGAGAGAGAGAGAGAGAGAGAGAGAGAGGGTGGGGGTGGGGGAGGGTCCTCTTAAAAGGGAACGTAGTGAATGTGCACAGGTGATGCACTTAGAGCTGAGGGCGTATCCCTTCAGAACCCCAAGGACAGGCGGGTACAGATTCCTGGATACTAACAGTGCCCCATTACTTTTTCTTTACAAGGTCATCCTCACTAACAGGGCATGAACAGGGAGGGAAAGCACTTTTTTTTAAAGCTTTTTACCAAACGCCTAAACAGACAGCTCTCATCGCCTAAATAATTGACAGCTGGAGAACCTGCATAAGGCAGAACCAGGCCCCCTGAGTGTGGGTGTCATTTGGGGGGCTTGGTCGGTCTGTGAGGTCAGTATTTATCCCTAGTGCCTGAACTGGCTTTTTGGAGCCCATCCCCTATGGAGGGACACTCTCTCAGCCTAGATACGGGGGGGGCGCCCAGACGACGTGACAGACTTTGATGATCCCCCACAGGAGGCCTCATCCTCTCTGAGGAGTGGATAGCGGTGAGATGGGGAGAGGGTGGGGGGAGTGGGAGGGCAGGAGGAAGAGGGAACTGGGATTGGTATGTAAAACAAGACTGCTTTTTAACATAAATTAAAAAAATAAGTGTCAGCACACACAGGCATGGTGGTATAGCCTTGTAATTTCTAGCACTTGGGAGGCTGAGGCAGGAGGATAGCCACAGTTCAAGACCAGCTTGGAGCCGGGCGTTGGTGGCGCACGCCTTTAATCCCAGCACTCGGGAGGCAGAGGCAGGTGGATCTCTGTAAGTTCGAGACCAGCCTGGACTACAGAGCGAGTTCCAGGACAGCCTCCAAAACAATACAGAGAAACCCTGTCTCGAAAAACCAAAAAAAAAAAAAAAAAAAAAAAAAGACCAGCTTGGGCTACATGAGGCAGCCTGGACTATATAGTGAGACACTGTCTCATTAAAAAAAAAAAAAGAGGAAAAAGAAGAGAAGGAGGAGGATAAAGAGAGAGAAGGAGGAGGAGGAAGAGGAGGAGCCAGGTTGTTCCAGCTACTGGGGAGGCTGAGGCAGACAAGAGGATTTCCTGAGCTCAGGAGTTCCAGATTAGCTGGGACAGCATAGTGAGACTGTATCATCAGGAGTAGGGACGTGGCAGAGAAGGGACAGGGTAGGCTCAGGACACCTCAGTATAGGACTTTGCCACAATTATCCCCGACTCATTCTTCCTGCCCTGGAAAGCTTTCAAAACCACACCCAACCTCGTTATCGAGCATCACAGAGATTCCACTCTAAGAGGACAGTCTTGTTCTCGTAAGCAACCCCACACTTCCCACAGCTGATGTGCTCGTGGCGCTGGTTTGACCATGGATGGAAGAAGGGTGGGTGAGTTGAGGGCACTGAGCCCCGACTGTTGTCTAGAATCCTTTTTAAACACCCTTTCCAAGCAGCTGCTCCGTCAGTGTAACTTCCACCATGCTCCCCATAGGCCAGTGCTTTTATTCAACAAGGCGTTTACTGTGGGCAGTATATCTCTTCTGCCGTGGCTTGCCTTTAGTGGCTCACCAACCAAGAAAGCGGTTTGTGTGTTTCATTATTGGAAGAGAATCCAGAAGATACCTTACCCTGAGATGTGTTACAGACATCCGTACTTTCAGTCAACTGTATAGAAAACCTCCCACAATGGGTAATTTTCTCTAATACTCGTTTCTTCCAATCAACGGCAATGTTTCCCCCACATCTTTCAAGAGTATTTGCTGACAAAGATATGCCTTTCGGTTTGTCGACAGATCATTTACTGTTCATTGTTTCTGCCATTTTTACTGCAGCAGAAAGAAAAAGTGTTTGCCCGGTGTTAGGTGTTTTTTCTTTTGTCTTATGCTATTATGTAAGAAACTTTACAAGAGCTCTCCAAATATTTATCATTGCTTAGGGAAATATCAAAAGTGCTGGGCTGAGAAGCACAGAGCTTTAAACATCGCAGGGAAAAATTGCAGGGGTTTGTCTTCTTGTTCTGAAGGCTGTTTTTAAATGTCTGGTGAACCCCGAGGATTTGATGCTGTCGTTGATGAATATCTCAAGGCATAAGGCACCCAGAGCTGAGGCTGTACTAGGAAGAATGGGAGGGGAGTGTTTCAAATAGTACTCTAAAAACAGATTTTTACATCTCTCTGTCTCCCTCCATCCCTCCCTCCCTCTCCCGCCTCTCTCTCTGCCTCTGTGTGTGTGTGTGTGTGTGTGTGTGTGTGTGTGTGTGTGTGTGTGTGTGTGTGTGTGTGGAGGTCAGAGGTCAGAGGATCACCTTTAGGCTGTTGGTTCTCTTTTACCACTCTGTGGGTCTTGGGGATTGAACTTGGACGTTAGGGTTTGGCAGCAAAGCACCTTTGTCAGCTGAGCATTTCACCGGCCCTCAAAGAGTTTTACAAAATCTGTTGTCCTGCACTCTTCCCACCTCTGTGACATGGTAATGACAGGCACGTGTGGACCCATCAGCCAGCTTCTTCTCTCTCTGGCTCTGCAGGATTGTTTGTGGTTTCTTGGCAGGACTCTTGTAAGTCACTCTCGGCTACCCTGGAGGATTAGTTTGGTTAAAGCTGGATGTTATAATCCATAAATCCACTTAGGT